GAGCAAGGAGCACTTACAGCTAAAGACCTGCAGTTCAGACAGGAACGTTAAAGCTGAGTCTTGACTCAGCTTATGTGCTTGGCCTTTATTTTCATTGTACAAGTAAGGGGAAGAGAGGAGGAAAGCCAAACTCACCAGTTTCTCAGGTCTGAACTCACAGCCCTGTAACATCTGGACCTGTTTAAAATCCCATCCCAAAGTGAACTGCCATCCCTTGGGCACAAAGAATAGATGGCTTAGCCTGGCGATGTATGAAAGATGAGCCATTTGATCCTGCTTTTGGAAGAAACACCAGAAAAACTGCCCCAGTCCTTTCTCCTCAATAAACTGGACCCGTGAACTTGAAGCCAGATGCCTGCACTTGTGTGTGTGCAAACAACACCCCAGCCCATATGTCAGCAGTAGCGTGGGGAGTGCTGCTAATAGCTCTGTCAAAGCACTCAGTGAGGGCAGGTATTGCAGACAGGGTTTTCCAGTTGGATTCAATAAATCAAAACCACAGCACAACTATTTTTACTGTATCTTTCAGGCAAAGTTGCTTTCCAGATGGCTTTGGACAGAAGGAGGAACGCCTGGGGAGCTACCTGTGAAGGAAGAAGAGAGATTTGCATGGAGGCAGGTGACAAGATGAGATCCAAGGGTATGGCCAGGGCACTTTAGAGCTGGGGAATATATATCTTATCCAATGGGATACAGGGAAGCACTTGTTTTCCCCCCATGGGGGCAGTCAAGCAGTGGACCAGCATCCCAGAGAGATTTGGTCTCTATCTCTGGGGGTCCGTTAAGGTAGATCTGAGCTAGAGTAGAGCTTCTTACCACCTCAGCTCCAGTAAGGTGCAGGGGGATGCCTGGGCATATTCAACCTTTCTTAACACCTATCAAGCTCACTACAGCTTACCAATAGTCAGCTGTGACATCACTTGTTATTAGACCCAAATCCTGGAGGAGTTGTGGGTGATTTTAATGTGATGTGACCTTAGAAGATACTTATCCTTCCTGCACACCCATTTTTCTACCCTATGGCAGTCCCAGGTTCTCCTTACTCAGGACAAATGGTGGCTTCACCTTCTGGAAACCTTCCCTGCTCTCCTGGGTCCTTGTCCTCCATCACCTTGAACACCACAACACCCTCCAGGACACGATTACCCACCCAACTTCTTTCTTCCTCCTTTTCCATCTCCAGGACCTAATGCTCATCCATGGCTCTACTTCCCATCCAGAGCTCCACATCCCATCCACCTCTTCAAACTCATCCTCTCAGCCACTGTTTTCCACTCAGCTTTCACCAGGACTCCATCCCCAACATGCCCATATTTGAACCTTTAAAGCCGTGATACCCAAAGAGATGAAGGCAGACCACACAAGGTGATGGAAATGCCTCCCCAGCCCTACTCCTGCATCCGCTATCACGAGGCTCCCACCATCAGTCCATCCAGGCTTGAAGTTCACTGCCAGTGGGTGTTGCCAGAGGGGACTTTGACAGATGCACTTGAAACAAGGGAGCTGTTCTGAACTGAAGATTGACAGGAACAAGCTTTTTATAGTTGGGTTCCTTTTTCTTTTTTCAGTGAATTGTGTCCTTCTGAAAACGCTGTTTTAGCAGGAGAACTGCCTTTGAATCTGTCCTTTCCCACTTCGGGGTTGAGAAGAAAGAGGTCATTTATTCTAAGGAAGCCAAAGGAATATAAAGGCCAATGGAAGGAAAAAGAACTCATGGGTAGGAGAGGATTTTGATCGGAAGGTGGGAAAGTTGAGCGACATTAAAAGCCCTGCTTGAAAATGACCGAGTGGAAAGTTATAAAAACGAACAAGTCTTGTGTGAAAACAATGAGGGGAATTGCAGGCACAATAGAAGTCATCTGTGAAAATTGCTGAGAGAGCAGAGAAGACATTTCTGTCTCCAAAAGCAAAATAAAACCCCATCCACAGTAATTCGTCATAATGATTCCTCTTAACTAGTACTAATTTTTACCCAGCAGTAATTACTATTTAAGGCTCCAGAGCTCTGGAAAAACGACTTTCTGGATGCAGCGACATCCGTGCAGAGGGATTTGCACAGTGTTTGAGGGCAGCCTGTTAAGGGAGAGGTTTTATTTCTCCTCCACACCAATACGGAGAGACAGAAATATCCCACTCTTATTGATGCACGTAACGGATTGCTCCTGTCAGAACTGACAAAGGCGCTAATTTAAGGAGCGTTTCCCTCTCTCATGCACACAGATGCGTTTTTCAAGAGAGGTTTTTTTTTCCTTGCTCTCCCCCTTGGAATGCGAGTTCCCAAAAACCAGGTGAAAATCCGCCAGACGATCCCTTGGGTTTGATTGCATCTGTGAAGAGCCTGTGGGAAACATATGCCAGGAATTATGCTAACGACGGAGCGCAGTAAAACCTGCCAGGTAAAGGCAGCAGTTGTCAGCAGGAGACAGCCCAGATGTCATTTTGGGATCCTGCTCTCCATTGCAATGGTCCAGAAATGACTCTTGGTCCCACTGGGGACTTCACTGCTGCTTAAACTCAAGCCCAGATTTTCATTCTCATCCTTTCATTATTATGATGTTAGTGCAGGGACTGATGTGTCCTCTGAAAGCTGCATGAGGGATGGGCAAAGCTTTGGTTGCAGGTGGAACACAGTGTCCTTGTAAAATTCATTATATTCTTTGTATTTCATCATAGAAGTGCTTTCCAGAGCACTGATTTTCCATCGAGTCTTCCTGGATGCCTCACCACTGTCCTCTGGGTGGGATTTCTACCCAATACCACACATGCAAGCAAATATCAGAGGACGCTACTATGAACTTCCCCAAAGCCATGTCCCTGTCCCCAGCTGTGTGACTCTGTTCTGTCCTTGCTGCTGACACTCCTGTGGCTGCTGGTGGGACAAGCCAGGGACCTGGTCTACATGAAAAGTGGCTGTTGTGTTCAACTATGGATGTTGCCTGGGCTGGGTCACCCTGTACCACCCAGTTTGCTGGGTATGAAGTGGCAGCAGGAGCTCTCCATCCAGGCTGGATGATGGCGATGCTGCCTAATCTCATCTTGGAGAGCCCTGATTTCTCCAAGCCTTGCCTTATCCAGCCAGGATCATCCCAAAAATGGCAGGGGACACACACACAAAGCAAGGCTCTCACTCTGCTGTGCAGCCAGTGATGGAGAAGCTGGGAATTGCCACGTCTGCAGCTGCAGAGGTTGTCATCTCCAGCCCAGCACCCCCAGTCCCTGCAGGGGATCTCCTCAGGCACATCTAAATGAGCAGCCCTCACCCATCCATAACACAGACATCTAGAAAACACCTAGGGAGCAGGCTGAGGGCACTGAATGGCATCTGCTGAGAGGGTGCTGAGCCTGTGGGGATCAAATGCCAGTTCAGAGATGAAAAGGTCCTTTTGGATACCCAAGGATCAGAAGGCCAAAGGGTGAATACCAGCTGACGGCTTTACTCTGGCTCTAGTGATGAGTGTATCCTTAACACCTGCCCACTAATCCCAATTGCATTGCTGACAATGGAGAGCTGCCCATTTGCTCTTTAAGTCCGCTTTCTCTAGAGAAAATCAATCAGTGCAGCAGGCAGTCAATCAGGCAGTCAATCAGTGAGGCAGTCAATCTGAACCACTTGGAAAATGGGTCCTGCAGAGACCTGGGCTCCCACCCAAAAGCCCCGTGAGCAGGAAAAATCTCCAGCTCTGAGGGATGCTGGGACCTTCCCCAGCCCAAGGCACAGCTCCAGACCTGGCCAGGCAGCAGCCATCCCAGCATGGGGCACGTTGGCTGCAAAAGCATCCTGGAGCAAAGCACTCCCTGACTGGAGATGGTCCCTCTGGAGGGATCGAAATCACAACACACACACACACACACACACACAACACCCGCCTTTGGGACTTGCAAGAGTTGCTGATGCTGACATCTAGTGACAGGCAGAGCCGGCAAGAGGGGTTACCTGGAGCCTTGACAAAGCTTTCCCCACCGAGGGAAGAATCTTGCCGGGGTCTTCCCAAGGAGGTGGGCTCCCAGCAGGGATGCTCATGGGGCGGAGGAAGCGGCCCGGGATGTCCCAGCCACTTCAATACGTCCCAAGACCTTATCACCGAAGAGGACGGGCGCATCCTCCCCTTTGCCTGCCCACTGCTTTCCCTGGTTTATTTCAGCACAAAGTCGTTCTGGGTTTGCTACCTCCAAGAAGCACAGGGAAAGGGGAAAATAATACCCTAAGGGAGCCGTCGGGGTTACAACCAGGCAAAAGAGACGGCTCCCAGCCGGGCTGCAGCCGCAAACCGATAAGGAAGCCCTGGGAATTGCAAGCGGGAGAACCGTCCGCTCCGAGCTGAGGAGAAGCAGGATACGAGCGGGATGCTCAAAGCAAGGGTGCTGCAGACCACATATGCTCGGATATGGCAGCACCCCACGGGGAACAGCATCTCCCAGCCACGAGAATGGAGGAAGGCTGTCTTGGAGCCCTTGAAGGGATAGGGAGGACATCGGGGGTCCTGGACCCCTCGCTCCGATGCAATAAAAAAGCCCATTTTGGGGGGAGGACAAGAAGAAATCTGCAGCAGGAACCTCATAGCACACACACACAGACACAGACTGGGGTCAGGTCGGTGCTCCGGACACTGTGCACGACGCTGCACAGCGCAGCACGGAGCAGGGGCTGCCAACCCCGTAACCCAAAGCCCAAAACCCCGACATATTCCATCTCCATCACCACCGTGGGGCTCCCGGTTCTGTGCAAATTCCGTGTCCGTGCCCCCTAACACAACCCCTCCGCGTTCCTCTTGCCCCAGCCTCAATTCCCGGGACACATTTATCCATTTCCACGACAAACAGGACTATCCGGAGTGACAATATGAAACATCCCAGCGCTTCGGTCCACAGCAGAGAGATGGGCGATGCTGCCCCGGGGGCTTGACACTGCTCCAAGGGGGATGAAGAGGGAAGCCCCCTTCCCCGGCCGGGGGTATCCGAAACAACCCCCAGCAGAAAGTTCTCCCCTCCGTGCTACTCACCCAGGAGGATCAGCGTGCAGAAGTAGAAGATGCCCCTCATCCTACCGCTCGGCACGGCGCGGATCACACCGACTCACTCGGCACGGCTCGGACCCACCGGCCCGGCTCGGCTCGGCTCGGCACCGCGGAGGATGCGCGGAGGCTGGGCAGGGCGAGAGGCGTCCCCGCCGCCCCAGCCCGGCCCCCGGGGCGATCGCTCACACCGCGGCCGGCCCAGCCCCGCTCCGGACCCGGGTCATGCCCGCAGCCGGGCTGGGTACCGCGGGCTGCCGCCGGCCGAGCGCCGCCGCATCCCCGCAGGGATGAAGAAGGATGGGGAGGGGGCGGGCGCTTCCTCGAAGGTTCAGTTGTATTATTCTTATTAAATAATTAATTCTCCCCTCTCTTTCAGCAGCAAACTTCTGTCCGCAGCCCTCGCCGCCTTCCCCGGGCTGCCGCCGCTTCGCCCCGGCCCCGTGGGGAGGGGCCTGGCAGCCCGGCCCCGCTCCTCCCCGCCTCCCCGGGGCGAGGAGGGGATGTGGAGCCTCCTCCAACCCGGAGCAGGTCCTAGACCGCTGTGTTGGAGCCCCCCAGGTACTCCCGGGGCATGGTCCCTTCGAGCCCCGCGATGTCTTCTTCAGCACCCGGTGACCTCCTGGAGGGTGGCAGCACATCCCACACCCCCAAACCCTCATCTCTTTGCAGCCTCCGACAGCCCCATCCCCTTAGGACCTGTGTCCTGGTCTTGACTGTTTGCTGGCAGAGACCCAGCCCTGAAGTCTTGGGCCACGTCCTCCCATGACACCTTCCATTAATCCCCTATAACACGTTCACCTTCCAAAGCTCCTCCAAGAAAACACCTCTGTAAATTCAGGTCCATAAACCTCCATCCATGTCCCCACACCTCCTTCTCCACGGTGCCCTGACCCTATCCTGCTCCTGCAAGAGACCCTTCACTGTGGTCCCCTGGTGCTTCTCTCACCCCCCAGCATCTCCCCCCCGCCATCTCCATGTCCCAACATGTGACCCACACTGAGGAAGCCAAGCAGCAGAGCCTGGCTCCTTAATCTTTATGATGAGTGAGCATCGTTTTCCACTACCTCCATTTCATGCATGGAGTAGCTGAGACACAAAATGTGGAGTGATGGCTTCAGGTTCACCCAGTAATTAACTGACCGACAGAGGAAGAAGCCTCATTCCCAAGGCAGTACTCTGTAAACACTGCCCCTCTGGTCCTCCTCCTAATGCAGGCTTGACCTTCCAAAGGTCTTATCTTTCCCTTCCTTTCCCTCCTTCTCTTCTCTTTTCCTTTTCTTCTCCTTTCCTTTCCCTCCCTTCTCCTTTATTTTCCCTCTTTCTCTTCTCCTTCCTTTCCCTTTCTTCCCTTCCATTCCCTTCTTTTCCTTGCTTTTCCCTTCTCAATGCCTATCCCTTCTTTTTCCTTTCTCCTCTCTTTCCTTCCCTCCTTCCTCCCTGTCCATCTCCCTAACACAGACGCTCCTCCAATGATTCAGAGCAGCACTGGAGCACTTTTTCCATGCCAAAAGCTCAGGCAATGCTTTTGAACATCTGCAGCCAGAGCTTTTCCCAACTGCTGGGTCAGGGATTTCAGCTGAGCAGGTATTTAAATGCCCCGGGAAGGTTTTTGTGCTGGAGCTGTTCAGGGTTCTTAACTTGGTTTCCTCGTGGCATCACCACGTTAATCCTCCTGCAAGTTCTCCTAGGAAAAAAAGGAGGAATTGCACATCTGTGTTTCCAATGAGCAAAGCAGAGAAGGGAAGTCATTCCTCCGGCCACATGTAGGTGTTCTGTGTCTAGCATAAAGAAGTGGAGAAAACGCTACTTGAGATTTTCCTTTTGATTTCCCTTTTCCTCTTGGAAAATGAAAAATGAAAGTGTGATCCTTGGCATTCCTCTCCTTTGGAAAGCTTCTTCCATGTTCCAGGCTGGAGCTCCTCCTTTAGCAAGTTTCCTAGTCCTCTGTCAGCATTGAAAAGCTGTAAATAAATCAGTGCCTTTAACAACTGTATTCACATCCCAAAGGAACATTTCCTCAGCTACTCAGTGGAGGAAAAGAAAGTGTTAAGAAAACCTCATTCGGAGTAAAAAAGCATCACTGTGGAGCTGGGGTATTTTTGACTTCTTAAGAAGAGTACGATTGTGTTTAAGCAAATTTCCAACTGCAACGGCAATGAGACGCAATTGAAACATCCAGCTGGGAAACTGGGGGAATTATTGGATTTTTCTGCTTATTATTATTTTTAATTATTTTGCAGATTCTTTTTTAGTGTTCTATTTTTGAAGGAGCTGTTTGCCCAGGAAAAAGAATAGTGCTGGAACATATGGGAGGGTTTGTAGGCTTTTTTAACAAGCAAATAAAAATATTTTCCTTGGAAAACGTTTGCCCTCCCCTCAGGAATGAGATGCTCTGATGCCCTTGGACCACAGCAGCTGACCTAAGCCTCATCACCCCACTCATTAAGAAGGGATGGGTTTGGCTCAGTGTCCCACCTCCCACAGGGGTGCTGGTAGCAGGGATGGGAGAGCTGGGTTTGTTCAGCCTGGAGAAGAGAAGACTCCTGAAGGGGAGACCTGAGAGCAGCTCCAGTGCCTGAAGGGGCTGCAGGAAAGCTGGAGAGGGGCTTGGGACAAGGGATGTAGGGACAGGCCAAGGGGAATGGCTTGAACCTGCCCGAGGGGAGACTGAGATGAGCTCTTAGGCAGAAGCTCTTCCCTGGGAGGGTGCTGAGGCGCTGGCCCCGGGTGCCTAGAGAAGCTGTGGCTGCTCCATCCCTGGCAGTGTTCAAGGCCAGGTTGGACCCAGGGGCTTGGAGCAAGCTGCTCTAGTGGAAGGGGTCCCTGCCCGTGGCAGGGGTTGGAACTGGGGGAGCTTTAAGCTCCCTTTCCACACAAACCAATGTGGGATTCTGTGATGCTTTCCCTAGCACTGTGTCTTGTCCCCCTGGTGAGGTCTGAGCTGCAGGAAAACATTCCTTTTGGTCCAATCAGTGAAGCAGCATCAAGCCCCTCCACCCACACATGTAGAGCTGGGGGAGGCAATGTGAAAGTAGCCTTGCTGTCCCCTCTTGGGCTAAGGACAAGCTACAACCTCCCCCTCCGTACAAGGGGAAGTCATCAGTGAATCAGTGCGATGAAAGCAACACTTCATCCCAAGTTTGATGAAAATAGACAATAGCAGGGGGTTGGGAGATGGCGAAAGTCCAGGCATAGACAACCCCTTACCACCCATCCCAACAGGGAGGCATTTCCTGCCTTTTCTTTAGGGGAAGGACTCGTGCACTGGAAAAAGCCACCCAGAAGAGACATGCTGCAAATACCATGAAGAAAGAGGGATCATTGTTCCTTGCTGCTTTATTTATCGGATCTGGTCTTTCTCCTAATTGCTGGGTAGATGCTGAGATGAATAGAGTTAAGGAAGAAAACCACTCCTTGTACACACATACACACCCCTCTCCTGAAATTACCTGCTACCTTTCCTTACAAATGAATCGAGGTATTGATCAAAGTATTGTTGCTCATATTAGACCTATCCCAATGAGCTGCTCCCCAGAGCCCCAGACAACAGATTCAGCAAAGGCAATGAAAGAAAGGATTGTTCGTGCAGGTCCATGGAGAAATCACTGGGCAGGGAAGGCACATGCACTATGCTGATTAAAAGAAACCCAGTTGTGAGCCTGAAACAGGTTACAATGGAAACTGAAACACAAGGTTGGTTTGTCTTCCTTAAGGCTGCTGTGGAGGACCCAACCATGCACACTCCCTTGATAATAGATGGTATCCTCATCCCAAAATAGTCATAGAAACAAGGCAAGAGAGCTGTAGCTGTCTCTTTTTATGAACAGTGAAGCGGTGACTGAGAGATTAAGGGATTCATGCAACACAGGGAAGCTGGAAAACAGTCAGGACCATTCAAAGCATCCCTCCATCCATGGACAGCACTCATGCACAAACATCCCTTGCTTCACAACACCTCTAATGGAAATGGTGGTGGGCTCTTGGGCTGTAACACACGAGACAAGATAAATCAATGCTGGTCAGGAGACATGAAGCTGTCTAGAAAAGTAGGATGGGAACAGTAAGAATCTATGGAAACCTGCTGCTGGGGGGGCAGACAAAGCCAGGCAGACATGGGGAGGATGCATCAGGCAGCAGAGGTGGGATAGAAGCTCCATGCACTGACTATCTTGACCTCCAAAAGTGGGAAACACCAGAATACTCCCTGCCCCAAACATTTCTAGACTTCACTGTTTGGAACCATTTGGAAAACCTCAAAATTCGTACCAAGAAAGGTCAAAAAAAGACACCACGCTTTCAGGTCAGCCCTACAAGCTTCCTTGATGTGGCTTCAAAAAACACTGATGATGATGATGATGGTGATATGGTTGGTAAGATTGTGTTGTAACTGCTCAAAACTTCTGAAACCCATCCAGCCTCACACCAGCTGTGCATAAACCAAATGATTGCAGAAACCCAGTCCTTCTTCACTCCAGCAATAATCTGAGTGCCCAAGCTGGATCCTGTTTTGCCTGTCAAGCTCAAAATATGTGGGTCCTAAGCAAAAGTTTGATTGCAAAGAGGAATATTTACCAAAGCAATAAAACAGGAATACACTCCCTGCTGTGCTGAGAACGTTCACAAACAGGAGGAAAAAGGACAAACTGTCTCCCCTTCACATGAAATATTTGGCTGTCTAGCCCAGGAAGAAAACCCAGTGGAGGAAAATCCAGTTGGAAAACCCTAGGAAGGAGGAGGGAGTGATGGGCATCAAAGAGAGAGGTGAAGGCAGGAAAACTCATTCTATATGAGCGAAAAGGAGGAGGTCACCCAAACGAGGTGCAGTAGGATGGTTATTGGTACATACACACCTACCTGTAGGATGCTCATTTGATGCCCTCCCTGATGACAGCATGGAGCAGGGGGAGCAGTTTTCAATGGAAGTCAATACCACGCTTGCCACTAGGATTTTGGAGCTGCTAGATCTTTTCCAAACACCCCCCTCAAAAGCCATTTCAACCTGCAGAGCCAGGTGAGAGGTTGTTCTCCCCTGCTTCATCTATACCACAGGATCTAAGATGTGGATCAGCTTCTGTAGCTCTAAAGAGTAACTTTAGCTTGATTACATCTTCTCTTCAGCCTGGAGAAGATGCAGGTGGTAGAGAGTACAGATCTATTTGGACAAGGTGGATGGCCATCATCTGTCTTCTGCCTCATCTCATACCAGAGTGAGGGCCAAGAAATTGAAGTAAAAGGAAACAGATCCAAAACTGATTGCAAAAAGTGGATCTTTGGTGTGTTGCTGCCTTCACATAGGACTTTGTAAGTGTTAGAAGCTAACATAGCTCCAAAAAACTAAACCAGATTACTTCACAGTAAGGACTCCAGTAGCAAGTAAGGAGTAACCTTTTTCCAGTCAGGGTACATTAAGTACAGAAACCTTACCTGTAGCTCAGGAGCTCCCAG